TGTATTTAAAATCTTAAAACAAAAAAAAAAAAAAAAAAAAAAAAAGAAAGGTTTGTACTAGTATTATTTGGACCATTAAATGCCTATGTCTTGTACTGTGAGTAACTTAGTTAAAAATAACAATACACAATATATTAACCATTGTTATGCTATTATTTTGAAATTTTGTGTTTTTTCTCTTTAAAATAAAAAAAAAAAAAAGATTGTGAGCCAGATATGGTGGTGCATGCTTGTAATCCTAGTACTAGGAGGCTGAGGCAAGAGGTCGCCTGAAGTTCAAGGCCAGCCTGGATTACAAAGTGAGACCCTGTCTCAAATAAACGAACAAATGAAAACTGATTTTGTTTTTGTAGCAGTTTTAGGCTCACTGTAAAATGTAGGGGGAAGTACTGAGATTTCTCACGTGCTTTCTGCCTTCACATGAGCATAGCCTCCCACTGTCACCATTCTCCACCAGAGCATTAAAGTTGTTACAATTACTGAACCTACACTGATACTTCGTATCATCCAGAGCTCATGGTTTACACTAGTCACTGGGTTTGAACAAACATACCTGTCTACCATCACAGAATTATATATAATAATTTTCAATGTGTCCCCAAAAGTTTATGTGTTAGAAACTTCATCCCAGATCCTGTGAACAGTATTTGGAGGTGTGCCTTTGAGAGTCTAACACCCATTCATGATAAAAACCCTACAGAAAACTGGAAAAGACGTCTTTATCTCAATCTGATAAAAGCCATCTATGACAAACCAATAGGCTACGTCATACTAAATGGACAGAAACTGAAAGCTTTCTCTCTATAATCAGGAACACAATAAGGATCTCCACTATTTCCACTCTTATTCAACATAGTCCTGGCAACTTTAGCCAGAGCAATTAGACAAGAGAAAGAAATAAAAGGAATAAGGACAGGAAAGGAAGAAGTGAAATTGTCATTATTTGCAGATGACAAGATACTCTACATAAAAAAAAGATCCCAAAAATTCCACTAAAAATTGCTAGATTTAATAAGCAAATTCAGTAGTGTAGCTGGATACAAAGCCAATACTCAAAAATCAATAGCTTTCCTGTACACAAATAACAAAATCACTGGGAGAGAAATTAGGGAAACAGCACCTTTCACAATAGCATCCAAAAAAATGAAATACCTAGGAATCAATCTAATAATGAATGTAAAAGACCTCTACATTTAAAAAAAAAAAAAAAAAAAGACCTCTACTTTGAAAACTACAGCACTCTGAAAAAAGAAATCAAAGAGGCTATTCCTTATTCTTGGGTAGGAAGAACCAATATAGTGAAAGTGGGCATACTTCCAAAATTGTCATATAGATTTAAAGCAATTCTGATCCAAATTCCAACAGCATATCTCACAGCATTAAAACAGGGCTGGGGATTTAGCTCAGCAGAACAGCACCTGCCTGGCAAGTGGGACGTCGTGAGTTCAATTCCCGGTACTGGAAAAAAACAAAAAACAACAAAAACAAACAAAACAAGAAAAAAAGAAAACAATCTTAAAATCCATATGGAACAAGAAAAGACCTAGAATAGCAAAAGCTATTTTGCACCACAAAGGCAAGGGAGAGGCATCACAATCCCTGACTTGAAATTATACTACAAAGGTACTGTGATAAAACAAGCATGGTACTGTCAAATAAAACAGTACCACAGACTAGAAAACAGTACAACAGATTAGAAGATGCAGAAACAACTCCAAACGCACTCAGCCACCTTATCTTTGACAAAGGAAACAAGTATCACTGGAAGAAAGATAGCCTCTTTAATCAATGGTACTGGAAAAACTGGCTTTCCACATGCCAAAGACTAAAATTAGACCCACATCTTTCACCATGCACTAAAGTGTAAGTGGATCAAACATCTAAATGTTGAAATAAAAACATTAAATCTGCTAGAAAATAGAATAGGTAGAACTCTTGAAGACACTGGTACAGGCAAAGACTTTATGAACAAAACCCCAATTGCACAAGAACTATCACAAAGAATCAACAACCGGGATCTCATGTTATTAAAAAGCTTTTGCGTAGCAAAACAAACACCAAGTTTGGGAGTGTAGACTGGTGCAAGCACTGTGGAAATTAGTGCGGGATTCCTCAAAAACTAAAACTAGATGTTCCATTCAAACCAGCTGTTTCCCCTTCTTGGTATCTTCCCAGAAGAATTAAGAGCATCACACCACAGCATACCCATGTATATAGCAGCACAGTTTGTACTAACAAAGTCCTGGAAACAGCCCAAATCCCATCAATTGATGAATGGATAAAGAGATGTGTTTTTTTATATACCGTGGAGTGCTACTCTGCCATAAAGAAGGATAAGCTAGAAAGACATTTCTAGCTAAATGTATATACCTTGAAACCATATTCTTAAGTGAAATAAATCAGACACACATGTTCAAATGCCACACAGTCTCTCTGCTGTGAGAAACCAAAAGTGTAAATAATGACCAAAATGCTCAAGTGTGGTGGTGCACGCCTGTAATCCCAGGACTCAGGAGGCTGAGGGCAGAGGATTGCTGTAAATTTGAGGTCAGCTGAGGCTACAAAGTGAGTTCAAGGCCAGCCTGAACTGCACAGTGAGATCCTGTGTCTTAAAAAAAAAAAAAAAAATAATGACCAAAATGTATAACAGATATTGGGAAATGGGAGGAAAATGTTCAAATGAGAAGGGGAACAAGAAAGCGCGGGAGCGGGCTGGGGATTCAGCTCAGTGGCACAGTGCCTGCCTGGCAAGCACGAGGTTGTGAGTTCAACTCCTGGTACCAGAAAAAAAACAAAAAAAAGAAACAAAAGAGAGCGGGAAGGGAGAAAGAAAAGAAGGGACAAGAAAAAAAGAAAGAAAAAACGGAAACAAAGCTTGTGTAAAAAGGAGGGGAAGAGATTTTAAAGAGAGTGGAGGGCAATGGGAAAAAAGGAAGATATATCATGTATAAGTACAAACTTCCCATGGTGAATGTTATCATTATGTATGTCTAAAATGTATAAATAAAAACTTAAAAAAAAAAAAAACATCAAGAGAGTGAAGAAACAACCCACAATGTGGGAAAAATTTTTGCCAGCTGTTCCTCAGACAAATAACTAATATCCAGAATATATATAAAGAACTAAAAAAAACACCCCAGACCCCCCCCAATTTAAAGACCCAATCCAAAAATGAGCATCTAAAATAGATACTTCTCAGATGAAGAAGCAAAAACAGCAAATAAATATATGAAAAAATATTTAACATCACTGATCTTTCCAGATATACAAATTCAAGCAACACTGAGATTCTATCTCACTCTAGAAAGAATGGCTATTATAAAGAAATCAACCAATAACAAATGCTAGCAGGGATGTGGGAAAAAACAACCCTTTTCCACTGTTGGTGGGAGTGTAGACTGGTACAACCACTGTGGAAATCAGTGGGGGAAGATTCCTCAAAAAACTAAAAGTAGAGGTTCCATTTGGCCCAACTATTCCCCTCCTTGGTATTTTCCTGAAAGAATTAAAAGCATCATACCACAGTAGTGTATGCATACCTATATTTATATTGATATAGTTTCTAATTGTTGAATCTTGGAAACAGCCCAAATGCCCCTCAACTGATGAATCGATACAAAAGATATGGTTTCCTTTATACAATGCAGTACTATCCTGTCATAGAAAAAGGATAAGCCCAGGGCTGGGGATATAGGTCAGTGGCATGGTGCTTGCCTGGCAAACACAAGGTCCTGAATTTGATTCCTGGTACCAAAAAAAAAGGATAAGCCTGAGACATTTCTAGCTAAATGGATGCACCTTGAGACCATACTCTTAAATGAAAATGAACACATATATTTAAATAATGCATTGTTTCTCTTGTGTGAGAAACTGCAAGTGTAAATAAGAACCAAAATGTGTAACAGGTATTGGTAAATAGGAAGAAAATGTTCAGATGTTAAGGGGAACAAAGGAGGGGGGCATGGGGAAAGGAAGGAAGACACAAGAAAAAAAAGAATAGGATAAAAATGTAAACAAAGTTTTTGTAAATAAGGAGGGGAAGAGGGGTTGAGGGCAAAGGGATGGGGAGAAAAAGAAGCAGCAAGATATATCATATATAGGTACAAATTTTCTATGATGAATGTATCATTATGTATATCTTAAATGTACCAGTTGGGCTGGGGATATAGCTCAGTGGCACAAGCACCTGCCTGCCAAGAGCAACTCAGGTCCTGAGTTCAATTCCTGGTACCAAAAATAAATAAATAAATAAATAAATAAATAAATAAATAAATAAATGTACCAGTGGAGTGAGGTGGCACACACCTGTAAGCCTAGCACTTCGGAGGCTGAGGCAGGAAGATCACTGCAAGTTTGAGACCAGCCCTGGCTACAAAGTGAGGTCAAGGCTGGCCTGAACTGCACAGCGAGACCTTGTTTCAAAAAAACAAAAAAAGCCGGGGATATAACTCAGTAACGCATGCACATGTGTTCCTGGTACCAAAAAACAAACAAACAAAAAACAAGGAAGAAAAGCCAAGCTTGGTGGCAGCTACTTATAATCCCAGCACTTGGGAGGCTGAGGCAGGAGGATCACCCTGAGTTTGAGGTCAGACTGGGCTAAATAGTGAGAACCTGTCTCAAAAAAACAAAAAAGAAAGAAAGAAAGAAAGGAAGAAAGAGGAAAGAAAGTTCCATCTTTTTTATTCCCCAGATAAAGGTGGTTGGTAGTGATAGTCATTTAAAAAAATCATAAAATGAAAGTAGTATATAGATATCCCTTACCATTCCCATCCTTTACAAATTTGGAGGAAAAAGCATACCTGCCCTCAGTGTTAACTTTTTCCAGGTCATTTTTAAGTGCAGCTGAAAGTTGCATCCTGTAAGGAAAGGCATTAGAAAACATTAGATAACACTGATTAGAATTAGAAAACACAGATAACATAATGTACATTAAAAATCCTTCCTAAATACAATAAAATATTATAAATAAATACAATAAAACTCAATAAAGATTGAGTTCCCCTAAAAGATACATAAAACATAGGCTGGTTTAAAAAAAACAACACTGGGTTGTGCAATGAGATTGAGAAAGAAATATGAAGGAGCTCCAAGATGGACAAGGCTGTAGCATGCGGCAGTGCTTGGCCCGCCCAAGGCTGCATCGACGCAATCTCACTCTTAGCTGGAAGCACTGCCCACACCGGGCAGGGTCGGGGCAGCGCCAAGAACCACAGAAACCAGGCAGCCTGAGACAGGAGGAGTCAGGGAACACAGGGCCACTTGGACTGGAAACTAAGGCATGCTACTGTTGCTTACTATCCAACTCAAGGAGCTAAGAAATAGGTAATAACAAAAAGCAGATGGGGCTTGGAATATATAGCTCAGCGGCAGAGTACCACACAAACAAATCAAAAAGGCAACACAGCTGTAGTAATCTCTTCCTTTCTTTGTAGATTTAAAAAAAAACACTTTAGTTTTTTATTAAATCTACAAAGAAACTCATCCAGGAATGCCAGAAATAGAAAGAACTATAATAAAAGACGTTTAACTGACATTATTCCATCAAATTGAAAGACTAGCTGGGCGTGGTGGCACACGCCTATAATCCCAGTGCTCGGGAGGCTGAGGCAGGAGGATCATTGCAAGTTCGAGACCAGCCTGGGCTACAAAGTGAGCTCTAGGCCAGCCTGAATTGCATAGCGAGACCCTGTCTCAAAAAGACAAAAAAAGAGTCTATATCCTATCACATTTGTCTCAATGCACTCCTGAGACGTAAGGATGGGGACATAGTACAAGAAAGGTTATCAATGAGTGATTCCCTCCTGCGCCAGTGTCAGAGTGGACTTAGGCTAAGATGGCTATGATGTCCCTGTATGACATAATGCTATGGCACCATCTTTTTCTATGTAGCTTTCTGTCAGACAGTACATCACTGTACCAGCACAGACCAGGATAGAGTACTTATATTCAAATATCCATTGAATGAATTTAAAAATATAAATGTAAGACCAACAACTATATTTAATCTGGGTGCTCCAGCACATACATGTGGTCCCAGTTACTTGGGAAGCTGAGGCAGGATAATCTAATCATCATTTCACTTGACTAATTCATTTACTCCAGTTTAGAAAAAATCTCCACTGTACCCTCATCCCCATCTCACATTAAGTTCACATGCTTATACTCAAAATGTAACAGTTACCTGCTCAATGCAAGCCTTTTCATTTCAAATGCAACTTTCACCTCTTCAATTTCATTTTCCAGGTCTTCAACTTTACTATTAAAGAAACACAGAAGAATGTCAGCAACATCAGAAAAATTCACTACTAAGATAAATGTATGAAGGAAATCTTTGAGAACAGTAAAATATCTCTGTTTAAAGAGAAGTATTCTACAGACTCACCCTATCAACGCATAGCTACAGATGTGGCAAACTGAATTTCTGGCAGTACTGGGGAATGAATACAGGGTCTTCATACTGAGCCACATTCCCAGTCCTCTTTAACTTTTATTCTGAGACAGGAAAGTTGCTACACTGCCCAAGCTGGATCCAAACTTGGCAATCTTCTTGCCTCTGCCACCCAGTGTTGGGATGATAGGCAAAGCTGATGCTTTCTTCTTTTTAAAATGAGAATAAAGCTTTAATGAAACATTTTCCTTACACATTATTACCTCACAGTGGTGAAACTTTCCTTACAAAGGATGCTTTCTGAGCTTTTCTCAGTATCTTCCTTTTTTTTGTCTTTTTGAGACAGGGTCTTGCTATGCAGTTCAGGCTGGTCTTGAGCTCACTTTGTAGCCCAGACTGGTCTCGAACTTGCAAAGATCCTCCTGCCTCGGCCTCCCGAGTGCTGGGATTACAGGTGTGCTCCACCTCGCCCAGCCCTCAGTATCTTCTAAGAAGATGCCATAGAATATGATATGCTCACTCGTTTATAAGAAAGTCTCCATTCCAATCAACAACTTCTCAATATGTGCATGAAAATTATATAGAAAAATAAAGCAAAGGAAAAAGGCAGCCAATGCTTTAATAGGAATAATATGATTAAATCTTAGTGAAAACCACAAATAAAATTTTAAAATATGACATACGCTTCCATTTGTTTTTCTTGTATGATTTGTTCTGGAGTTTTTTCTTCATCTACAAATAAATAATTTTTTGAAGTCAGTAACATTTTAGAACAGCACTGTCCAAAAGGAATATAATAATGTACGGAACAAATACAAAAGATAAAATTTTGTGTCAGTTTATATAACACAAAAGAGAAACACATGAATTAATTTTAAAAAATATAGTTATTTAGCCCAATAAATCCCAATTATTATTCCAATATAGAATCAACTTGAAATTACTAATGACATCGTCCACATTTCATTTTTCTATGTGTATTTTATATTTACAGCCTGTCTCAATGAAGAGTAATCACATTTCAAGTTTTAACAGCCACACAGAACTACTGGCTACCATGACTGGTTACAAAACACTTGTTATTACATTTTTATGGGAAGGGTACTGGGGATCGAATCTGGTGCCTCATAATAATAAGCAAGTGTTCTACACAGAGCTATACATCTTCAGCCTGAGAGAACTGTTTTAAAATCACAGAAAATAGCTAGGCATGTCGCACCACTGTAATTCCTATAATCCCACCACAGAGGTGGCTGCAGCAGGAATACTGCAATAAGTTTGAGGCTACTAAGTTCAAGGTCAGTCTGAACCACACAGCGAGACAGTCTCAAAACAAAGAAACTGACCCTGTCTCGAAACAAACTTCTCCCCAAAAGACAGAAAATAAAAGAGTAAAAACACTAGTAAGACATTTAATGTCAAGAAGCCAATTATAGGCTCTTTAGCCTATAATTACAACAAGCAATTAGAAATTAAATTTAAAAATTATAAACAACAGCATTCAAAGCCATTAAATACTAGGAGCTGCGGGTTTAGCTCAGAGGCACAGCGCCTGAGGGCCAGCGCAAGATCATGAGTTCGATTTCTGGTACCAGAAAAAAAAAAAAACATTAAATACTTAAAGGTAATTTTTTTTTAAAAAAAGGTTTTCTATACTGAACCCTACTAACTACTGAAGTGGGTAGATATACTATGCACATACGAATCCATACTGCTAATATCCATAGCAATTTTCCTCATATCAGCATATAAACTCCAATCAAACCCTAGTCAAAACACCTCAGTGGGGGCTGGGCGTGGTGGCACACGCTTGTAATCCCAGCACTGGGAAGGCTGAGGCAGAGGATTGTTGCGAGTTCAAGATCAGCCTGTGCTACAAAGTGAGCTCAAGGCCAGCCTGAACTGCATAGTGAGACCCTGTCTCAAAAAGACAAAAAAACAAAACAAAACAAAACAAAACACCTCAGTGGGACAAGAAAATAAAGAGGCTGGTTCTTTCTATGGTAATAGAAATATTTTATATCTACACTGCCCAATAAGGTACCCAGTAACTCCCAGCATTGTGGGAGGCTGAGGCAGGAGAATCACAAGTTAGAGCCCAACCTGGGAAACTTAATAACTTAGTGACAACTGTCTCAAAATATAAAATAAAAATAAAAGGCTAGGGATGTAGCTCTGTGTGAAGATCCTGGCTTCAATCAGCAGTAGCACAAAAAGGTGGGTGGTGCTAAACCATCTTCTCAGAGATCACCCTCACCCTCCTATCTAAATGTCCCCTCCTAGGGTCGGGGATATAGCTCAGCGTCACAAGTGCCTGCCTGGCAAGTGTAAGGTCCCGAGTTCGATTCCTGGTACTTTAAAAAAAAAAAAAAGACTAGATCTTATGCTAGGTGTGGTGGCACTTGGGACGCTGAGGCAGGAGGATCTGAGGCAGGAGGATCGTTTGAGATCAGACTGGCCTACAAAGTGAACTCAAGGTCAGCTTGAACTGCACAGTGAGATCCTGTCTCAAAAAGACCAAAAAAAAAGTTTCCCTACTTTTATTAGGCCATCCTTTTTTCTTCACAGCTAACATACTTAATTACCTTGCTTTTTTTTTTATGTTTTGCTACAGACAATGTTTTGTAAAGTTGACCTTTCCCATAGGGTACTGTTCATTCTCAAACTCATATATGCTTATGTGAAAATGAAACTACTTACTTGCATCTATCATCGACTTATATTCTAAGAGCTGTTGTTTTGTCTGTGCTCTCAGCCTGTAAACAGAAGAGAACAGAAAGTCATGTAGCTATGGACTGAGGTATTATTATCACACGATGAACTCATTTTTGTTGTTGCAAGCTGATGTAATAAAATGGTCATAAATAATAAAAACCAGCATAGAGTCTTCTAGTTAGGCCTCATTTCATTTAAAATGGGCACAAAGAACTTATTTAAAAAGGACACAAAGGCCGGATGTGGTGGCGCACACCCATAATCCCAACACTGGGGAGGCTCAGGCAGGTGGATTACTGAAAGCTGGAGACCAGCCTGGGCTACATAGTGAGTTCAAGGCCAGCCTGCACTGCACAGCGAGACCCTGTCTCAAACAAAGAAACAAACAAAAAAACCACAAAGAATTTTCACATTTTCAGAGGCAGACATAAAATGGAATGCAATTGGAAAACATTATGTAGTGGGTCTTACTATGTAGCCCAGGCTGGCCTTGAACTCCCCATCGTCCTGCCTCGGCCTACAGGAGGGAAATTTTGTGAGGTTTATTTATCAGCCAAGACCTTTTAAAGCAGCAATAAAGCTAAAAATATAATCACAATACTTTTTAAAGAGGTCGCCTCGGGCTGGGAATATAGCTCGGCGGCATAAACGCCTGCCTGGCAAGCGCAAAATCCTGAGATCGATCCCGATACAAAAAAAAAAAAAAAAAAAAAAATCCCCTTACTATGATTTAGAAAAAAGGTCTGCAAAAAAATATTTTTCCCTCTGAGGGAGCAGCTGTCAGAGCTCAGGCTCGGGGGTCTTCCGTCCCAGCTGCTCTGCTCAGAGCCGGGAGAAGCACAGCTGTGTTCAAGGCGGGGCCCGACACTCACAGTTCACAACGTCGGCGCGCCGCGCGCCCTCCCCATCATTAGCACACACAAAGCCCTTCTGAGCGGCCACACAAAATGGGCGCGGGGCGGCTCTGGCTCCGGGCCTCGGTCCGCCCGCTGGTTTCGAAGCCTGACGTCCCCTGTCGTCCAGGTGCCCCACCACCTGCTCGCTGCAGAAGCAAAGGCCTCCAGGGCTCCGGGCAGGCGGCGGGAGGAACTACCTGAGCAGCAGCGACAGGCGCTCCTCGCTGCGCGGCTCCCGGGCGCCGGCGACGAGCGGCGGCCCGCCCGCCCCTCCCGAGTCCGCGGACCGGGCGTCCCGCGCGTCCTCCGCCTGCGGCTCCATGCTGGCCGGGCCGCGCCCGGAGATAAAGAGGGTCAGAGGCGGTACGGAAGACGATGCTTTTCCCGCCACAAAACTGACGGCCGGAAAGAGCCCGCGTGTCCCGCCCCTTCCGCCCGAGGCCCCGCCCCCTCCGCCCCGGTTCCGGTCGCCGTGGTTACTACCTTCTCGCTGCTGTCCGGGTTGCTCTGGCCCGAGTGGTTATGGGTCCCTAGTAAACGGTTCCAGGAACCGGGCTCCGGGTGCAGCTCAGTGCTCAGCATGCGTTGGATACACAAAGCCAAAACAAAACGCTTGTCCCCTTAAAAATAAAAACAAAAACCGCCGAGCTTTAACGCCTGCTGAAGGCTGCAGGGGAAACGCCGACCTAAACGGCCACTGAGGATGGCCGGGCCCGGCTTGTTGATCCCCTCGATCGGTTTAGCGGAGAAACGCGAGGCTCAAATTCAGCTGTCCCCGCAGGCAAATGGGAAGCGGAACAGGCGTCCGGGCCGCGTTCTCGCGGTCACTTCGCGGCCCGCGCGCCGCGCCTCAGGCCTGGGCGCCCCCAAGTGTCTGCCTTGTGACTCCGCAGGTCGCAATCGAGCCACAAAGGAGGAGAAAGTGAAGAAAATGCTGGACATGCAAATGCCTGATCGAAGTATTCATTGTAGCCCGTCCTGTAAAGGACACTTTGACCTCCACGAGCACAGCGGCCGGGACCTCTTGGAACATGATGGCCCTGGATTCTTTACAGCAGGTTCCGAACCCTCCAGCCAAACTGAGTACCCAGTGCTCATTATCAAAGTCATACACAGCCGGGTGTAGTGGCGCACACTTGTAATCCCAGCACTGGGGAGGCTGAGGCAGGAGGATCCTTGCGAGTTCGAGACCAGCCTGGGCTACAAAGTGAGCTCAAGGTCAGCCTGAACTGCAGAGCGAGACTCTGTCTCTACCAAAAAAAAAAAAAAAAAAAAAAAAAAGACACAATAGCTTCAAGAAAAATTATTATTTTTCTAAGCTTCAAGAAAAACAAGCAGGTGTGGTGGCCCACGCATGTAATCCCAGCATTTGGGAGGGATTGCTGAGGCCAACCTGAGTTACAAACTGAGTTTAAGCCCAGCCTGAACTGCCTAGTGACATCTCAAAAAATAAAAGAAAAAAATTAAACAAGAATCAGTCTAACAAGGAAGTAACCTCTTGTTATGGCTCCTGTCTAGATGTCCCCTCCAAAGCCTAATTTACTCATAGGTGGGGCTTTCTGGAGCTGGCTGGATCTAGGGTGTGTGATACCAGGATTAAGAGTGGGTTGACTGGTGGGAATTAGCACAGTTCTGGGTGTGGCTAATGAAAGCCCCACTCTAGGTGTGGGTGGCACCAGTCAATAGGCTTATACCCTGGATGGAATATAAAGGGAGAGGGGAGGCAGGATTGTCACTGCTGGCTTCTCTGCCTGCCCTGCCACACTGTTCTCATCTAGGATGCCCCTCCGCCATGCCACCCTGTGTTAGAACCGGATGACTATGGACTGAAACTGCTACAAAATGTGAGCTAAATAAACCTTCCTTGCTTTAACTTGTGAATGTCAGGCATTTTGTCTAAGCAATGAGAAAAGTAACTAAGACACCTCTGTAACAAAAACTATCGTTCTGTCAGGTGTGGTGGCCCACACCTGTAATCCCAGCACTTGGGAAGCTGAGGTACAAGGATCACTGAGAGTTCAAGGCCAGCCTGGGCTACATAGTGAAGTCAAAGCCAGTCTGAACTGCACAGTGAGACTCTGTCTCAAAAAACAAAAACAAAACAACAAAAAAACCTGAACAACAAAAAGTATAGTTCTGTGACAAAAGAACTAGAAGATATCAGAAAATGGAAAGTTAACTCCTGTTCCTTGATTGGCAGAACCAATGTCAAAATGGTTATTATTCAAAACGGCTGGAGGCTGGGGATTTAGCTCAGTGGCACAGCGCCTGCCTGGCAAGCGCAAGGTCGTGAGTTTGACTCCCGGTACAAAATGGCTATACTTTTAAAACTAATGTATAGATTTAATGCAGTCCCAATCAAATACAAACAGCATCCCTCACAGAACTAGAAAACACAATCCTAAAATTCATATGAAACCAGAGGAGAGTCCAAATAGCAAAAGTCATCCTGGGCAACAAAGGCAAAGTAGAAGGCATCAGTAGGCTGAGCATGGTGGCCCAGGCCTATAATCCCAGCACTCGGGAGGATGAGGCAGGAGGATCACTGCAAGTTCAAGGCCAACCTGGGCTTCAAAGTGTGTTCAAGGCCAGCCTGAACTGCATATTGAAACCCTGTCTCAAAAAAAGACTAGGAAGCATCACAATCCTGGATTTCAAGTTATACTACAAAGCTACCGTGGTAAAATAGCATGTCATTGGGACAAAAAGGCATATGGATCAATGGAACAGAATAAAGGACACAGAAACAACCCCAGGCACATTCAATCACTTGATCTTTAACAAAGGGGCCCAAAACCCCACATTAGAGGAAAGTTAGCTGCTGCTTCTTTTTCTTTTTTTTTTTAAACAAGTAGTGCTGGGAAAAGTGGCTATGCACATGCAAAAGATTAAGTCTAGATCTGTGTCTGTCACCATGTAACTAAACTGAAATCAAAATGGAATAAAGTTCTAAATATTAAAACAGAAACAATCTGCTAGATTAAAACTCTTGCAGACATAAGCATACCAAAAGGTTTTCTTCGCAGAACCCCAAGTATACAAGAAAAAGTACTAAGAATCAACTGAGGTTACATCAAATTAAAATTTTTATGTACAGCAAACGTAACAATAGAGTGAAGACAAGTTGCAGAGTGGTAAAAAATTTTTGTTAACTACCCCTGGACAGAGGACTAACGCCCAGAATATATTTAAAACTCAAAAAATTAGATGCCCCAAATAAAAAGACTGCATCAAATGCATAAACTTCCCAGAACTAGAAATGGCCAATGAGGACATGTAACAATGTTCAGCATCCCTGGCCTTTAGAGAAATGCAAGTGAAAACAACACCGAGATTCTACCTTACTCCAGAAAGAATGACTTACCATTAAGGAACCAGGTAGTAATTAACAAATGTTGATAAAGCTAGGGGACGAAGGGAAGAAAGCCTTCTACATTGTTGTTGGGAAGGGAAACTAGTACAATCATAGGGCATTCAGCATAAGGGTTATTCAAACAAATCACCTTTTTCTTTGATCTAATTTCCTCTAGCTATCTTCCTGAGTTAAAGATGCCATGCTACAATGATAGATGCATATCCATTTCTATAGTAGTCAAACCTACAGAACAGTAAGTAAAAAATTCTTGTCAATTATCCCTGGGCAGAGGAGTAATACCCAGAATATACATGGAACTCAAAAAATGAGATGCCCTTAATAGCTGTATCTTGGAAACAGCACATGTTAATCAACACAGATGCATAAAGAAAATGTGGTATTTCTAACCAATGGAGAACCATTCTGCTATCAAGGATACAGTTGAATCATCTGAAGGAAAATGGAGGCACCTCAATTCATGCTAAGTGAAATAAATCCAACACATGAAGTTAAATACTGCATGGTTTCCTTTATGATAAACTCCACGTTAAGGAGCAAACTAAGATTATAGAGGACTGGAAATACAGCTCAGTGACAGAGCTCTTGCCTTCCATGCACCAGGCCCTGGGTTCAATCCCCAGCATGAACAAACACAAGACAGAAAAAGGAGATAGCTGGGTATGGTGGCATGTAGGCCCTTAATCCCAGCGTTTAGGAGGCTGAGGCAGGAAGATTGCCAGGACTACAAAATGAGTTCAAGGCCAGCCTAAATTACATAGTGAAACCATCTCAGAACAAACAAAACCAAAATAAATGAAAGGCAAATGACAAACTAAATAGGAAAGTCTTTTGATGTAACACACAAATCATTCAACTTATTCCAAGTGTAAAATGAAAACACCAAATGAGGTATTTTTTGCCAGATGGAGTCACAAAAATGAAAGACTTTCCATTCTAAGAAGAAGGCAAAGAAAACTTTTTTGTATGCTGCTGCCTATTCTGTACATCTTATCTGGCTGTCAGCCCTTACAATCCACATACTCTAGGAAATCTGCCTTATGCAAAGAAAGGGATGGTGTTAACATGTTTGAGTAGCACGTTCTGCAAGGACAAAGAGCAACTGCACTGTGAAGGTCAGTGGGGACTGCGTGACTACATCACACCATATCTGTACTATGCAATGCTACGTACAAGCACAGGAGAGCCTAAGGAATTACTATGTATACAACGAATACATTTAAAAATCTCCAGGGGCTGGGGATTTAGCTCAGCGGCAAAGCGCCTGCCTGGCAAGTGCAAGGTCGTGAGTTCGGTTCCTGGTACTTGGGGAAAAACAAAAAAACAAAACAAAACAAAAATCTCCATTTATGGCCAGGTGTGGTGGTGAACATTTTTAATCCCAGCACTTGGGAGGCTGAGGTAAGAGGATTGTTTTGAGTAGAGGCCAGCCTAGGCTACAAACTGAGTTCAACGTCAGCCCTCCCTCAAAAAGACCAAAAAAAAAAAAAAAAGCTGGAGATATTGCCTGCTTGGCAAGCGCAAGATCCTGAGTTCGATTCCTGGTACAAAAAAAAAAAACCCTTAAAATATATGTGCAAACCTATAGCTATATGGGACATGAAACAATACACTCTAAACTACTGATATTCCTGAGGTGGATGGGATTAAGGAGGGTTAAATTAATTTAAAAAATTTTTAGTATGTTTTGAGCAATGTTTTATTTTCATAATAAAAACACATAAAATGAAAACAACATTTCAAATATAAAGTTATCGTTTTTTAAAGTGAAAGAAAGCTTTTAAGATACTAAAATCGATAGCTTGAAAAATAACGTTTGATGTACTTTATTTAGAATTAGGATAGCAGCCACCAGAAGAAGCAGAACAGTGGAGGGAGGACCAGGGCGAAGCAGCAGACTTTCGCTTTAAACGAGCATGAGGCAGGAGACCCTCCGAGGTGCTGCAGCGGCTGAGACACAGGAGTCCCTACCGAAGAAACAGCTTTAGGCATCACCTTCACTCACACTAAAAGCCAGGTACAC